CATTGAGAGCGAACGGATTACCACAGGGGACAAAAGCGCTCTACCACCGCTGCACGCTAATCTGGCCCCTATTGAAAAGAGGTCAGCAGTGCACTGAGCCAGGTTCATGAACAAAAGAAAGTTATATAACACCGCACAATCTGGGTGCTTTTTACAAGGCTGCAGGCCTGGCTGAAATACTCGGGTGTCAATGAAGGTCACCTGTCAACTTAGAGTAGTGCCTAAAGATTACTTCGTGCGGCTATAAACGACCGTTAAATGAAATGATGAATTTTTCAACGATTTTGAAAACGGAAAAAATGATAGTCATGCCGGCCAAGCATCATCAACATTAAAAATGCCCCGGCATGAAGTGGTTAAGTTTGACCATGGGTTAGTTGTTGGTTGCTTCTTACCAGTGTTTTGGGGCAGCACAGTGCCAGTCATTTGACTGTAGTCAGAAATCCTACCTTCACTCTTATTCTATGCTGGTTACACATTATGGAGGGTCTCTGCCGTCCTCCGTGATGGTTTTCATGTCGGTGGTTCCATCTCAAACTAATTTCAAAAAAGGCTGTGAGTTCACTTCAGCAGTGCAACTGTGCCCCAGTGCCTGATTATTCAAAGTGGTCGATTAAGTACTCCAACCATCTATTGTTCAAATGACATAGGTTGAACTATGGTTAACTACCGTTGTAGCTCAAATATGCTTATTGCTTTGTCGCGATCCAGTATGATTTGAAGGTTTTCATAATTGTTCTGTTTCACAGAGGCAATGAATCCTATTGGGACGGCTGCCGCAGTCACCGCCAACCTGTCACAGGTCACATGCAACTCAGCGAGTCAACAGGATGCAATTTCAATGAGCATCTCCCAGAATCCAGCAGTGACCAACAGAGACTGCGTGGCTGACCGGTCTTGTAGCTTCCGAGTGAATGTGAGTGGCATGCCAACAATAGGCAATCCCGTCTGTGACTGTAGCACTATCACGTCTGGTCCTAGCTTGACAGAGTCACCGTAGAAAACGTCAGACGCACAGACCAAAGAAAGCGTCACGAGTTGCAACATCCTATACGTTGAGCACGTATGTGTTGACAATGACAGTGAAATCCGTCCTTGTCTAATTTCTTTTTCCTCCATACAGGTTGCTAATTGCAAGTATAGCACGGGCCGTGCACCTCGCCAAACAGAGTCCAATGTCCAGATCCAAATCGCATTCTTCACCAACACAACTGGCAACAGCTCTGGACCTGGTGGAGGGGGTTAGAACCTTTCCTTTGTCTTTAAAAAAAAGACTCCCAGCTTTTAGACCATTTTTCATTCAGTTTTGAAGGCTGCAGATGCCATACAAAGATGGTGGCAGCGTGCAAACTTTCAATTTTTGATGTAGTTCAGTGTATGTTTAGCAGTGTTGTAGTTGAGACCATGCACAAGACCAGACACAAAACCATGCACAAGACCAGATACAAGACCAGACACAAGACCAAACACAAGACTAGACACAAGACCAGACACAAAACCAAGCACAAGACCAGACACAAGACCAGACACAAGACCAGACACAAGACCAGACACAAGACCAAACACAAGACCAGACACAAGGCCAGAAC